GGAGAATTTTATAGTTAAAAGCCATGAAATTATACAGCGCAACATATTTTTATAGAATGTTTACCTGGTGGAAAGTGGCAATTGTACTCGGAGTGTGCTCCGAGCAGGCTTGCAGCTCGATAACAAAATATGGAAGAGCTGATACTACTAATAAAGGGCGCATGAGTAATCAGGTTGGAGCCGTAGGCAGCCACGCAGAATTCGGGTTGGCGCTGCATTCGAGACTGACCAGGAGAAGGCGCAGAGATTCAGTGATTCACTGCCGTGACAAAGAATCTTATTATTTCAAGCCGCTGAATGAATGCTATCGAATTTTTCGAACCGAATTTTTGGCAGTGGATCCGAAACGAAAGCTTGCATACGGTGGCACTCGTAGCGAACATATGCTCAACTGCTGGAAGAAATACCGCGGCAGGCTGCTCGACATAGGTCTGATAGTTTTTTCTTCCTTCCTCTGCAAAAATCACGGTCTCAAAAAAAAAAAAAAATCGGTACATTCAGTGATGGCAGTTTCTGTCTCCGAGCTGCAACAGAAATATTTTTTTGGAAAACAGCACACTCGAAATTTGGTAGAAAAGTCGTCTGTTAAACGCGTGGCACTAGTAGCCATTTTTTTCAGATAACTCATTAATAGGAATTTTGCTATTTTGTCAGTGATTTTTAAAACTGAAATTTATCATTCGCTATAAAATAAAAAGCGAAACAGCTGTATTCGTTTCATTTCTACGCTATACTAGCAGTGACCACTTCTTTGAAAGAAGTTTAGATTTTTTCTTTTTTGAGCTACTAAAACAACTACAGCAAACGCAACGTATCATACACAACTTATTAAAGAACGATGCTCACAAAAAAGTAGACAGTCACTGGGGTGATCCAAAAGAGTTGAAGCACACACACTTAATAAGCAGCGGACTCCAACTAGAGTTATGCTGCCCAAAATCGAAGGATCTGGTACAGTAACATTTGCGTGTTAGAGCAACAACGTAACATCACCAACATGGAATGCCCACACTGATAGTCCAGTTTATATTCTTGTTTTATAATTGGGACAACTAATATGAAGTCAGATTCCAGTTATTATTACACCCGATCTTCAGTCACACATCGGACAAACTTTATAATGAGATAATCTGGAAAACTTCAAGTAATGTAAAGTTCCAAGTAATGCAAAGCATGTGCCTCAGAATTAGCTTTTAAACTCTGCTGTATTCTGATTCGCGAGCTCAGCTTCGAACTGATGCAAAATACGTAACTCGAGGAACAGAGAAGTCATTACGTGAAGATTTTGGTGAATTAATCCCTCAGAGAATTCGGTGCTGCAAGCATGAAATTGTTCTTAGAACTAGCTGTTTACTAGCCGGTGACCTCTAACTAAAATTGGGCAGACTGTTTATCTTATAGCTTCTGCAGTTTACTTTTAACTCCGGAACAGATATGCCGCAAACGCATGACTGCGCTGATCGCCAGCTGCTCCTTTCTAACTAAAATATAATGTATTCGATGAAGTGACTCTTGCAAATGAGGTTTAGGATGGAATCACATCGGAGAGAAAATGGAGGCAGTGAAAAAGCTCGCGGTTGATTTTAATCGCAAAACATACAAGCGACAAGCTATCCAACTTGGTTTCATGATCAATCGGAAGCGCGAACTCATCTCGCAAAACGGTCGATACTTCGACGTACTGGAAAATGTGTTCGTGGAACGTGACAGTGCAGAGGATCCTTGTCCTAGTGTGTGTTGCGTAGTTTTTTTGGTCAACGGCACTCATTATACCGA